ACGAGACGCTGCAAGGTTCGTATGCGACGCCGTAAACGAGGGTTTGTGTGTTCGTAGGTTTCCCCCTTCCTACCGGCATTTAAGATTGCCATGTGCAGTCAGCGATATCAAGAAAACTGAGCTGATTCGGCTTTGGTCAACGGTGGATCGAGGCTTGGGGAATGAATTGAGTGAAAGGACGGCGATACCCATAATGAAGCTTGGGTCGAAAAGATGAGACCCGCTGGCCCAAGGTAGGGATGGCGAGGGCTATGTTGGGTATCGGACTCATGATATGGAGTCATGATATCGATGTTCTCTTACTGCGATCCAGCTAGTAAGAAAAGCGTCGCCCAGAGAATGCGAGAAGTCGAAATCTGAAGAGCTTTCGTGATCTGACCGCTCAACTGACAGGCGCATCTAAGCCGTGCTATCATGACCCGAAAATACGAGCTCTCGACTGTGCATTCCCTAGTACACCATCATCATGTCCATCGAATTCTATCAGCACGTAGAAAGCCGCAATGATTGAACCTCCGTTGAGTCGTGCCGCCAATGACCTCGGATTCGGTTATAAGGTGCACAAAAGGTTTGCGGTTATTTCAGAAGCCCGCAAAACAGTCGGTGGTCTTTCCGATTTCCGAACGTCGCCCTCAACAAACTCTCGCTCATAGACAAACTACCATGCCAAGGGAACTGATCAAGCTCTTGTCTCACGCCTCAATCATGCAGCTCATGTGAGGAAGAGTGCATGCATGAGCAAAAGCGCTCCACGTGCATCCCACGCTGATCAGCTCGCTTGCAATGGCCAGATGCTGGAGTGTCGCCCAATACCGCTACGTTCTTGTGCTCTCACATTACAACGTAGCTCACTCCGCCCGCAGGCGCGCTACGTGAGGCGCCCGGGCGATGAAGGACCCCGAAGAAGAAAGGCGAAGGGTATGCAGGTCCGAAGGGAGGGGCACAATCCATCGAACAGAACTAGATCGGATATCAATAACTCATAGCACCTTTCATTGGCAACGTGCCATCTCAGAATGCGACATGCGTAGTGCATCATATATACAGAAGGTTGGCTGGAGCCAAGACGAATGCTGCAACTCAGGCGAGCGAGCCGAAAGCGAGCCGACTCAAGTCTATCTGGACTCGGTACGTCCTGCTCAACTAAGATACCGTGTGGTATTATGAGTGGACCCGGGGGCTGTGATGGTATCGCGCGAACTGCCTGCTCGGCCCCTGAGCTAGGTGGACCCTTAGGGGCCGGCCGGAGCGAGCTGGAAGACGGTGGATGCGTGGGCAGCCAAAAGGGTGAATGTAACTCCGAAAAGCCGTAGCTACCTTATCTAGTCCGGGTCGGGCCAAGATCTGCCGCGAACGGTCGATGTCTGGGGATTCTTGGTGCGTGCGTCGTGCTAAGTAGGATGACAGGAATAAGCTTTGACTTCTGCGGCACAATGGACGCATTGGCACTGATAATCTCGCAAGTGACCCGGTGCTGTTGTGACGCTTTCCGCATGCCGGGAGATTGCATGGTGCCCGAGACTGCCGCAACCCAGGACCTAGACCGATTGCCGCAAGATGCCATATAACCCTAGTCTGTTGCATTGCCACCCCTTCTCCAAGAGATTAATTTATTAAGGTTCGCAGATACGGGTCGATGGCAGGTCACCAGAGATCAAACTTTCGCTCCAGGCCGTTGCTGGTTGACGAACCCCATGCCTCACGGACAGCTTTTCGGGGTGTCATGTCGACACATTACATGGTAAGCGGGGAGACCATGGTGCATCCGCCTGGGCAAGAGCCGGCATGCCCCTGAGACCGTGTTGCAAGCATTTGAGCATATTGAGAGAAACCCAGCAATGAAGGCCAGTCACAAGACTCACAAGCCTCGCACAACAAGATGAAGCGAGTCAGACCACATGCGAAAGCCTTGAAAAGGACGTCGCACCACCGCATCTCGTAGTGGTTGCCAGAGCGTACGATCCTTACCGTCCTCCAGCTTCACGTTCGAGTCCCAAGCAGCAGGGAATCAAAGAGGCAAATATGAGGTTCTCTCGGGCCCTTCTAGGCTTATGGGCCATAGCGGCGGCTGCTCAAACAGAGAAAAGCCCTCCGTCCCGCCCACGGAGATACCGGAGAAGACGATGTGCCTGAGCCCCAGCCCCAGCAGAGCGGGGATGGTCTTGTGGGCAACGGTCACTACATCGTCGAATTTGATGCTGTGAGTAAAAGGTCTTGTCTGGAGGCAAGAACTGTTCGTTGACGGCCCTTCAGAAAACCGACGTTTCGGCCGCGGTCGATGCCCTTGGCAAGGAAGACGGCATCGATGTCGTCAAGGTGTTTGATAATGGCCTTTTCCGAGGCTGTACCATCAAGGCACCAAAAAGCACGGTCGACTCGATCCAAGACAAGGCTGTTGTTGCCAAAGCCTGGCAGTCCCGCCGGATGACGTTTGGCGAGCCCCAGGTTCAGCGCCTGGGCGACGAGCCGCAGCTTAGCAACTACTCCATCCACGACATGACAGGCGTCGATAAGCTCCACAAAGCCAACATCAAGGGCAAGGGCGCCATAGTCGGCGTCATTGATACCGGGATCAACTATCGGCACAAGGCGGTGAGTGACACGACGGAGAGAAGCGCACCAGTCAAGCGCACCAGTCGAACACTTGCTAATAGGGCGGCTCAGCTCGGCGGAGGCTTCGGCAAAGGCTTCAAAGTCGTCGGTGGTCATGATTTCGTAGGCCAGACCGGCTGGCCGAAGCCAGGCGAGGTCAAGATGCCAGACGAGGACCCCGACGACTTGGACGGCCACGGCACTCATGTTGCGGGTATCATCGCAGGACAGAGCGAATTCTTCACGGGCGTAGCGCCTGAAGCCTCTCTCTACGCGTACAAAGTCTTCACACCCGGCGAGAGCACCGACGACGAAACTCTGATCGAGTCTATGCTTAGAGCATACGACGACGGTGTAGACATCATCAGCATGTCGATTGGTGGCATGAACGGCTGGGCTGACAACCCCTGGGCTCTCGTAGCCAGCAGAATTGTTGAACAAGGCGTCCTGGTCGTTATTGCAGCGGGAAACAATGGCGGGCCGGGAGCTTTCGCCGCCGACAGTGGCAGCGCAGGCGTCAATGTGGTATCGGTCGCCTCCATTGAGCCAGATGTCATCCCCTTGCTCAATTTCAAATCGACGTTGACACTGCCCGGGCGTGCGTCTGAGGACAGGTGGATTCCCTACAGATCCTTTTTTGACTGGTATCCGGCGAAGGTCAAGGGCTGGCCCGTCTGGCCCGTCTCTCTCGATGCCCTCGAGGACGAGGCGTGCGCACCCTTGCCGGCCGATACGCCAGACCTGTCCGAGGTCGTTGTGCTTGTCCGGCGCGGCACCTGCACTTTTGTGGAAAAGCAGGCATTCTTGAAGGAGCGCAACGCGACACACATAATTGTCTACAACAACGAGAGAC